ATTATACAAAGATGCAATAGCAATTAGCATCCTAAAGGATGTTATTCTAGTAACCGGTGAGTATGTGTCAAAGTAATCAAGACCTTCTTTTTGTCTATACCCTTTGACCACAAGTCTTGCCTTGTATTTGTCAATTGATCCATCCGCTTTCATTTTTCTCTTGAAAATCCACTTGTACCCAAGAGGTTTACAACCTGATGGTAAATCCACCAATTCCTAAGTGTGATTTTGCAAGATGGATTCAACTTCACTATTGACAGCTTCTTTCCATAAAGGATCCTCAAGACTGGATATAGGCTCTTTAAAAGTTAGAGGTTCATTTTCTAACAAAAATGTTAGAAAATCTAGACCAAAAGATTTTGAGGTTCTAGCACGTTTACTATGCCTAGGTTCCTCTTCCTCAATTTGATCTAACTCTTGCTTTTGTTCTTGATCTTGACTAGTAATATCATTAGAAGATCTTTTATTTGGAATTACATGTTTAAAGAATGATGCATTCCGAGATTCGATAATAGTATTTACATGCATTTCGGGATGTTCTGACTTATGAATCAAAAACCGATATGCACTACTATTCTTGGCATGACCAATGAAAATGCAATCAACTATTTTAGGACCTATCTTAGTCTTTTTAGGACTAGGAATAGACACTTTAGCCAAACACCCTGACACTTTTAAGTATTTGTAGGATGGTACTATTCTATGCCACATTTCATAAGGTGTTTGATTTATTTTCTTTTGGGGTACTTTATTAAGTATATAATTAGCAAAAAGTATTGCTCCCCCCCACAAGTTTTGAGGTAAACCAGAACTTATTAACATGGCATTCATCATTTCTTTTAAAGTCCTATTTTTCTTTTCAGCAATTCTATTTTGCTGAGGTGAGTAAGAAGTAGTGGTTTGATAAATTATTCCATGTTCTTTACAAAACTCACCAAAAGGTGATTCATATTCACCACCTCTATCACTTATTAGTTTTTTGTTTTTCTTACCAAGTTGATTTTCAACTTCATTCTTATATTGAATGAAAGTTTCCAAAACTTCATCCTTGGTTCGAATTAAATAAACATAACTATATCTAGTATAGTCATCTATAAAAGTGATAAAATACTTTTCCCACCTCTAGTTTGAATTGATTTAAAATCACAAATGTCACTATGAATTAATTCAAGTGGTTTCGTATTTCTTTCGATTGAATGAAAAAGGAGTTTTGGATAATTTTGCCTCAACGCAAATTTCACATTTATGATTTAAATCGATGTCAAATTTAGGTAAACATTCCATATTAATTAATCTACGTAAAGATTCATAATTAACATGTCCTAGTCTACCAAGTCATAAATTTGAAAACTCAAGCAAGAAAGAAGAAAATGTATTTTTATTAATAACTGAGGGTACAACGGTCATTACATTCATTTTGAAAAAGCCATCAGCCATGTAACATTTTCCTACGTACATCCCGTTTTTGGTAAATACAAATTTATTACTCTCAAACACTAGCCTAAACCCATTCTTACTCAACAAAGATCAGGAAACAAGATTCTTGGGAATGTCCGGTACATGCAGCACATTATTGAAAGTGAGTTCCTTTCCAAATGTCATCTTCAGAACAATCTTCCCTTGTCCTTCAACTTTGGAAGTTGAGAAGTTGCCCATAAAAAGTTGTTCACCGTTGTCCACTGTAGAATAAGATGTGAACATCTTTTTGTCGGTACAAATGTGGCGAGTAGCACCAATGTCCACCCACCATTCTTTAGAAATTCTAACAAGGTTTGCCTCAGAAACAACTGCAGAAAGATATATGTCATCAACACCATTGGAAATTTTGTCCACTTCGGTTATGTGGGCTTGAGCAGGCTTCTTGCTTGTTCTTCTTTTGCTTTTGCCTTTGCTACAGCAATCTTTGGCCCAATATTCCTCTTTGTCACAGATGTAACATTTGCCATTAAACTTGTACTTTTTATTCCCCTCCTTTAGACTTTAGAGCCATATAAGGAACTTTCTCCTGAAAACTTCCGTTTCTTTGCTTTTGGAGCATGTTCCACTACATTTGCCTTAGACTCAATTGGATGCTTACCAGCTCGCTTCTCAGAATTGCGGTTGCCTCTTCAATCCTCAAACGCACAATCAATTCTTCTAAAGACATTGCTTTGCTCTTGTATTTGAGGTAATTCTTGAATTCCTTCCAATCTTGTGGTAATTTTTCAATTAAGGCAGCAACTTGGAAGGATTCACTGAAAGACATGCCTTCTGCGTGAATGTCATGCAGAATGAGTTAGAGATCTTGAACTTGGCTGATCACTGTTGTAAGGCCCCTGAAATATGTATTTACTTCTCAGACCCTAATGTTGAATTATTTTCTTAAAGCCCCTCGGTTACTTGAATAAATTCGAATCTTGCCGGTTAGCATTAGTATTTTATTTTATTTTGTTTTATCGAAACAAGAATTACCCTAGCCGGATTAGGTTCCCTAACCTAATTTAATTCTACATAAATTACATGTATTTAACACCAAGCCCTTACTTCTTTGTTAAATTCAAAATAAACCACAAAAACTAGTACATGTACCCTAATATTATTAGTACCATCAATCTTGTAAGATATATATATATATATATACACCTTGAAGAGTGTGCTCTAGGACCAAAACAAATAAAATAATAACCCATCACACTCCTAGGGAAGAGAGAGGAGCCAATTTTCAAGAATCATGATTATGAAATCCTAGAGAAATACAACCTAGTGACCTACCTAGGATACAAAGTCCAAGAATTAGTTTTGTTACAACTAGAGGTGGCCTAAACCAATAGAACACACCTCCTAAGTCCCTTCCATTCCTTTAGAATTCAAGCAAAATCCTAACTTTCCATCCAATTCCAGCTAAAGGGCTTTTATGTCCTTTTACACCAAAATTTGCCTATATATATATACCACACCCTCCCTAGCTTGCAAACATACACACAACACACTCACTCACACACACATTTTGGTTAGAGAGAGAGAGGAGAGCAAGGAAGAGAAATCTAGAGGAGAAGAAGGAGGAAGAAAAAAGAGTTTCTTGTGCAAAGTTTGGAAGGTAAGCCACCAACACAACCTTCTCTTCATTTCCTTTTCTAATGCATGTTCTAAAGTTTCTGAATAATGTTCCGGATCTGTTATTATCAAGTTCTTATGTCAAAAAAAGGTAAGGGTTGTGTATTGATTTCATCCCTCTTGTATTTTTCCCATTTTGGCACAAACCATCTTCTTTTTGTACAAATCTCTCAACTTTTCAAGGGCACTCTTTCAAACAAATTTTCTCAGTTAAACATGTGATAGTAGCATATTTTCCTCACAAAAGAAATGAAACCTTCCCATGGTGGAACCCCCTTTTTATAAATTTTCTTGTTTTGGGCATTCTACCTTAAAACCTGTTTTTGCAGTTAACTTTCAAAAATTCCAAAAAAATGTACAAAAATATTCTGAACCTCTATTTCATGTCAAAACCTTCCTTTAGAAGTTAGATTTCAACTAAAATTGGTTTCATCTAAAAACATTGAGCCGTTTGCAAGAAAATCAAGTTTTCGTAACAGTCGACGGATCTGGGCAGATTCTGGACAGATTCTGGGCAGATTCTGGACAGATTCTGGACAGTGCTGAAATACTTTCTAAATAATTTAGAATCTGGAAGAGCAACCCCAATTCCGAAAAATGTTCTATAAACCAGATCGAATCCTCTATAAACCATAGGAAGGCCAAGCCGGTAGAGGGTCTAAAATAGCTCTTTCATTTTAATCTTTATGCGATATTAAATTTGGAAATTTTTGTTAGGTGTGGATATCTTATACCTTTGAGTTCATGAGAATGTTTGCAGCTTATAATCATATCTTGACTTGATAATATATGTGTTGTGGTTATGCTATTTACCTTTCTTATAAGAATGTTTGTAGCTTATAATCATAACTTGACCTGATAATGTGTTGTGGTTATGTTAATTGCCTTTCCCATCTTAAGAATGCATGCTTATGTGAATTTTATTTTATCGTTTAGTTGGACTAACCTTGACTTAAAACACTTAATTCAACGGGAAACCTAATTGGGTGGGTATTGGGTTTTCAAGCACTTGAGAAATGGAAAGATGAGAATATGTGTCATATGGATTGTTGGGATGCGTTCCCTATTTGAAGTTAAAGTCTTGCGCAAGTGGTTTTCGGAACCCTTGAACGGAGCGGTTGTATTCGGACCCTAGGTGGTTTGGTGTGAGGAGGGATTCGGGCAAGGCCCTATTTCACCGTCTCTTTTGAGGCCCTGCGGTTGGCGCTGACAAAAGTAACTTATAGTGACGAAAACTAGTGAAGAAAATAAACTTTGTCATTAAATAAGAATAATCCGTGAGGAATTATAAATTTCGCCACATATAATAAAAAAATAAAAATAATAGGTGACGAAATTTATTTTCGTCAATAAATACTTCGTTTTAGGTGAGGAAAAATTAAGTTTCGTCACCGAAGATTTTCGCACTAATTTTTTTGGGTGGCGCCAAAATTTTCTAACTTTTGGTGAGAAAATAATTTTGTCACCAATTATAAAATTATTAATGAGGAATATATTTTCGTCACTAATGATTTTTAATATTTTGATGCCATTAGGTGAGGAATATATTTTCGTCATCAATAATTTTTAATATTTTTAGACTTTTTGGTTGGGAAATAATTTTTTCACCAATAATAAAATTATTAATGAGAAATATATTTTCGTCACTAATCATTTTTGATATTTTAAGACTTTTAGTAAGGAAATAATTTTGTCACCAAATTTAAAAGGATAATTTTGAGATATTGAGTGGTAATGCAAAAAATATAAGCTACTAGTTTTCCAAAAAATTGCCTCAAATGACACTGTTTTGATATTTCATTTTTCCCTTTTACTTTTTTCCGTCTCTCCCATTTGTTGAGAAAGCCCTACCCCGTCAAGAGAGAGAGGCGAATAGAGAGGAGAGCACGACGAACTCGAATACAGATGGCGACTCTGGCAGCTGCGGCTGCGGCGAGGTGAGGTGGTGGTGAGGTCCTTTCCATCTTCATTCGTTCTTATACATGTATATATGATTTCTTGAGTTTGACTTCGTTGATTTCTTAAATGGATTTGATTTAAGTGGTTTAATTTTTGGGATTTTATGGGTTTGATGTCATAAATGGGTTTGATTTGAGTGGTTTGATTCCTTTCCCCCTCTTTTCCTTTCTCTCTTATCAATTTCCAAGACTTAATCAGTTTCAAAGAACAGAGCAGAGCCCAAATCCATTGAGATTGTGTATGTATTTGCATGTATATCTTGGCATTGATTGTGTATGTATTTGCATGTATTCTGGTTATTTGAATTGAAATTTGATACTATGATTGCAATAGTAAAGAGGAAAAATGCTACAGCTCCTTGATGCTATGTATCTCTTCTCACAGATTAGTTACACCTCCTTGTTCTTTATTAAACACACAGAATTCTTACCAAAAAAAGGGGAAATTTTATTTGACAATCAGAATCTTTAGTTGAATTGAAGCACCAGCTGGATCTTGTTTAATGAAGTTTTTGTTAGTTAAAGTATAAAACATGGAGTAAAATACATGCACAAGATCAATTGTGTAACAGGGCACTAATTGGGAAGTGGTGGTCTCTGTTTCTGTATCGAATGTGAAATGCATGAAATAATATCTAGTAGACTCACATAAATATCTTCGTGTTCATTAGTATATTTTGTCAACCCCCTCTCCAATACTTGTGAAGGTTTTCATTATATTCCATGTAACCAAAGTCAAATTCATTTTAGAGCAAATCATAGCATTCAACTTTAGCATCTCATTTCTAAATTATGGAGCAATTAAGACAGTTAAATACTCATACAAAGATTATGCTTAGGAGATTTCTTTTGCAAGGGAGCACTTCAGTGGCACTTAATAAAGAAGATAAAAAAGCATCTTCTTTTGTTTTCTAAGCTGGCTTCAGCCATTTCGAAGAACAAAACAACAATTTTTTGTTTATTAAATCAGATTTGATTCTTGTTGTTTGTCTAGACACTATTTTATTTAACTTTTTGTTCTTTTTCTTTTTCTTCTTTGGGGTTGTGGGTGAGAATGTTTGATGAGAAAAAATATAGTTTTGGGTTGACCCGTTAGAATCCTCTGTTTGTTTGTTACTCTAATTCTTGTATTAGGGTTGTTGGGTTTTGATAAGATCATTTTTTTGCTAATATTTGACTGGATTAAGTTCATCAATTTCTAGTTTCGGATGGAATTTAGGGCATTTGTTGATGCTTTGATATTATCTTTCTCAAGTTCATATATTGCCAATAAGGTGTCAATTAAAGATATAGAATTCAATCACTTGTTAAGGAATAATAGCAGTTATTTGCATCCTTGCTATCCCTTATAGCTGTTAATTAGGTAATGTGTCAAAGTAATGGAGTGACAGCTTCTTGTAAGTTCCATCTCCAGCCATTTTCAGTTTGTGTCCTTGTTTCTGCTTAACTACATGTACATTTCATGTTTAACAGTCCTTAAAATTTGTGTTTTGGTAGTTTATTATATCTGTGTGTCTTTTTTTTTTGATCGGCAAAAGAAAACCTTTATTGATGAAAAACAACACAAGTGTGATAAGAATACATCAATAAAGAAGAGGGTGCAAAAAGCATCACAGTGAAACATTTGGATCCCAACTAGGTTGGCACCAAAACGCACACCCTATCATCTGCTAGCACACACTCAAGGCTCCAAGATGGTGAGAAACCAACAAACAGAGCAGAACAAAACAAAACAAGACAAAACAAGAAGACAACAACCAAACACTAGCATACCATCCCCAGCCACTGGACATCCATTCAAACCCAGAACAGTTAAGAACATCCTCTGATTTGGCGCCAATTGAGAGTTAAATCATCAACGGAATAAGGAAGATCTTTAATAGATGCTTTCAACCAAAGTGCAGCTCTAATTTTGATATTTTCACTCAATCCAGGGAGACTAGGTTGAGCCTCTGCAAAGACACATTCATTCCTAAGTTTCCAAAGCGACCAAAGAACGATAAGGGGGATGGCTCTCCAAATTAACCTATCAAAATTTTTGAGCTTGACATTCATCCACCATTGGAGAAGATCATCCACTGATCCTGGAATGCACCAGGAGAACCCCCACTCAATAATTATAGATGACCAAATCAACCAAGAAGACGGGCAATGAAGCAAGATATGGACAGCAGATTCAGGTTCAGAACGACAAAATGGGCAGATGAGAGAAGCAGAAGCATCTAAGATGCCAATTCTGTGCATAAACACTGCTGTCTTGATTTTGTTTTTCCAGGCCAGCCAAGTGAAGAATGAAACCTTAGGAGGGACAGCCCCGTTCCAAATATGCTTGCAAATGATAGAATGAGGCCCTAGGATAGAGTTAGAGGCAGAGTAAAGAGAGGACACGGAAAATCCACCAGGACTAGTAAATGCTGAAGCCCAGATAAGATGATCAGCCCTGCCAATTGACAGAGATGGAGCTGAAGATAGTAGACCAAGTAAGTTAGCTTCTTCTACCAATTCCCAACTGAAAAGCACTCTCCTATTAGGAAAATTCCAATTGTTTGGGCTAGACTTTCTTGCCATGAACTGCTGTAGAGAACCTTCTTTATCTGTAGAAAGATTAAAGAGAAGGGGAAAAGAAGACTTGAGACTAGAGCTGCCACACCATCTATCATGCCAAAATTTAATCCTACTCCCATCCCCCACTTGGATTTGGCAGTTATCTATGTAGAAATTGTAAACATTTGTGCTATGCAACCCAATAGATAATATGTCCCTCCAAACTCTAGAATGTTTGTAGGAGGACTTTAAAGGTGGATGCCAACTAGCCTCATCAATATTGTATTTGCTACAGATAGCTCTCCTCCAAAGAAAGTTTACTTGAGTTCCAAATTTCCACCACCATTTGAGCAATAGACAAGCATTCATATCTCTTATTCTTCTGATACCCAGGCCCCCTTGGTTCAAGCTTTTGGTTACCTCCCCCCATTTCACTAAATGCACTTTCCTTTTAAGATCATTACTGCCCCATAAAAAAGCTGCCTCAATCTTTTCGAATTCTTTTGCCACACCTTCTGGCATCTTAAACAAAGAAAGAAAGTACACTGGTAAACTAGATAGAGTAGACTTGATTAGGGTTAATCTACCTGCAAAGGATAGCAGTTTCCTCTTCCACCCTGAGAGTTTAGATCTGATCTTGTCAATCACAGGCTTCCAGGTAGATTTTTTACCAGGATTGGCACCTAGAGGCAGACCCAGAAATTTCAAAGGAAGGCTATGTACTTTACAGTTGAGGAGATGAGCAAAAGAGAGCAATAAAGAATCAGACACACCGATGCCACACACCACGCTTTTGTGATAATTAATTCTAAGCCCAGATAGGATTTCAAAGCACCTAAGGATTCTTTTGATAAGTACCATTTGATCCCAATCTGCCTCAGAAAAAAGAATTGAATCATCTGCAAATTGTAGGTGAGATAAGAGGACATCTTTGGAACCGATATGAACACCTCTAAGAATGCCAAGATTAATTGCTCTGACCAAAAGAATGTTTAACCCCTCAGCCACAATATTGAATAAGAAAGGTGATAACGGATCGCCCTGCCTAAGCCCTCTTTGTGGTGAGAATTCCTTAGTTGGAGCACCATTCACAAGAATGGAAATCCTTACTGTAGACACACAAGTTTTCATCCAAGAGATCCATTTGTCACCAAACCCAAAACTAGATAGGAGAGAGAACAAGAATTCCCAGTTAACCGAATCAAAAGCCTTTTCAAAATCTAGCTTTAAGATCAAACCACTCCTGTTGGTCTTCTTCCAACCATCTACTACTTCATTGGCAATGAACACCCCGTCAAGGATGTTTCTTCCACCGATGAAAGCAGTTTGAGTTTCACCAATAATTGAGGATAGAGCTGGCTTCAGTCTATGTGTTAACACCTTTGCCAAAATTTTGTACAAGGAGCTTACAAGACTAATGGGTCTGTAATCAGATAGGCCGGAGGGATTTTCCAACTTAGGAATTAAACTAATGAAGGTACTATTAATCCCATAAGTCAGTTTGCTATTTGCGTGGAAGTCTGCAAAGAATTGCATGATCTCAGGCTTCATAGTCTTCCAAAATTTCTGATAACACAACAGATTGAAACCATCGGGGCCAGGGGCTTTGTTAGGGTTACAATCCTTAATTGCAGCCAACACCTCAGCTTCACTGAACTCTGCAACAAGATGATGAGAAACATAGTCTGCCTCAATGGTGTTGAATGGCCCTCCCAAGACGGGTCTGTTGGCCCAATCCTCAGTAAACAACTTCTTGAAGTGTTGGTAGATCTCTGATTGAACCCTGCTAGGATCCTCATAAGACACGTCGTTAACTACTATAGAGCTGATCATGTTTCTACTCTGTCTGGTATTAGCAAAAACATGGAAGAATCTAGTATTCTTATCCCCATTTAGAGTCCAGTTCAATCTGGATTTTTGATGCCAAATCCACTCCACCATTCTGAGCAAATGCCACATTTCACCTCTGACCACTCTTCTTCTTGACCGCCCAGAATCATCTAATAGTCCATCCTCTGCTAAGATGTCTAATGTATGCAATTCCGCCTCTAGAGCCTTGAGTTTGGATGTTACATGTCCAAACACTTCATCATTCCATTTTTTTAACTCTGTCTTTAGCTGCTTTAATTTTTGAACAATTCTGAATCCGGCCCACCCTGTAACAGTAGTGCTGCTCCAAATGTTGACAAAGAACTTAGAGAAACTGGGATGGAGAGTCCAGGCATTGAGAAACTTGAAAGGCTTGGGACCCCAGTCTCTTTCATCTTCCATCAGCAGCAGAACTTATATCTGTGTGTCTTACCCTTCTAATTTTTTTATTTTTTAAGTTGATTCTACTATCATCATTCTTATTTAACTTGCTAGTTGAAGAAAAAAAAAAAAAATCAAACAATCTCAAATGGGGGCCAATTGCCAGAGTGGCCAACTGCCAGATAATTTTAATTTATGATTCAATGAATTTGGCCTTTATGGGACGATGACTTTTTCCACTATGTTTGCAGGGATAGCCCTATTTAGTTGAGGTTTTGGTTATTGTGTGTGTACAACCTATGTTTAAAGATTAGAAGCTCTTCTAAGTCAGTTCAGAAACCTATGTCTCTGCCTTTTCTTTCCTTTCTCTCCTATTACTAGTAGATCAGAAACTTTCCAATTTTCAAGTTCATTGAACCATTTTATATGACAATAAAAGTCATCATATTGCTTAATTGTTTATAATATTGGCAGGTTCATAGGTGTTCATATAACTTATTGGAACTTGCCCTCCCAATTAGATTAGCTGTTGTTTTGTGATTTACGATAGATGAAAGTCAAATTTAAAAAAAAAAATGCATTTCTGCTAAATTCGTTTATAAAATAAAATTATTTATATATGAGTTTAGATGTAATTGATAATATATTAATGGTTTTATTTTTTTATTCTTTTTTGCAGATTGATTTTTGATGACATTTGGAAGCATACTTGCAAATCAATATCAAGTGTTGAATTTTTTTCTTTTCTTTTTTGTGGACTGATACTAGTTCTACTTGTAAATCAAGATCAAGTGTTGATTTTTTTTGTGGACTGATATATAGTTAATTTTGGGATTAGTTGTGATGGTTTTTTTGTTATACTTAATGGATTATTATTAAATTTGTTTGATGGATATATTTTGGTTTTAGAATATAAATTGTTTAGTGAATTATTTTGTTGAGTGGTGTATAGTAGCTTGTGGATTTTTAGTACATTTTGTAGGTTATCGAGATATGGGTAGGGATATTTGTGAAATAAAAATTTAAATTGAAATGTAAATATTTTTTTGTTGCAAAATTTATCGCTGTATGATTTTGTAGTTTGGTGACTAAAAATTTTGTCATGTATACATCTTATTGTCACGAAATATATTTTGTCACCCATGATCAACAGATGTGACAAATTTTTTCGTCAACCAAAGTTATATATACGGTACTGAGTAATTATTTGGTGACGAAAACGAGGATTTTTTGTGAGAAAATGTTACCTAGTTGGTGACAAAAGTTTTCGTCACTAAAGCAATTTTACTAGTGACGAAATTATTTTTCCTCACAATGATTTTTAGTGACAAACATTCAATGACGAAACCAATGACGAAAATATTTCCTCACAAATATCTATAGTGACGAAATTAGTTCTTTGGGGACAAAAAAAATTCGTCATTCAAGACCCAATTTGTTGTAATAACTGTTGGTAGGCATCCGAGGTTAGTTTTGCAACAAAGCAGCAAAAGAGGGGGCATACCGAATAATCCGCGTCCGATTCTTGTGGTTGGGAGGACGGAATCTCTTTGGGAGATTTCTAATTTACTGACATCTAACTTAACCATTTAATTATTTATTTATTTATTTATTTATTGGAGTATCATGCCTTACTACTTGATGTTATATTTTGTGATTGTGTATTGGACTGGGAAAAAGGGGTGGGGTGTGTGTGTGTGTGTTTACTGGGCATTCAAAGCTCACGGCGTATTATGCCAGGTGACGAAGAGGAACTCATAGCTGGAGATGTCGAACTTGAAACATTTGAAGACTTTTGGCTATCTTAGGAATACCAGAAATTTCCTTTTTGTTATTTTGTAAGACTCATATGAAGTTTAAAACTTTCTTTTTGGGATGTAATGTAATGGAACAATCTTTTAATCAAGTATAATTGTGGTTATTATGTATTAATTTATATCCTATGTATGTACCTTATCGTTGCTTATGAAACCTTGTGTCAATGCCTTGTAAGATCTGTCAAAAAGATAGTGCGCTGCCTAAGAAAGCTGGACTTAGAAGGGAGACTATTTGACTCCTCTGGCGATCTGGGATCTTACTTGGTTATTGACCATAGAACTCACTAGTGACTTTCCCTTGACTGCAACCTATAGTGTAGAATCGGGGCGTCACAACCGTCCTAGAATCAACCATTACAAAGTCTAGGAATTTGCCAACCACAAATTTCTTTGAGCCAGCATCTTCTGTTTTGTACTTTTTCTCTAAAGACTCCTAAAGTTCGTTTGCCGTCTTGATAGGACTGTAGACGCTGTATATTGTGTTGTCAAGTCCATTCAAGATGTAGTTCCGGCAAAGGAAATCAGTATGTTTCTAGGCATCGACCGCAGCAACCACTTGTCGGTCAGTTTCATCCTCATTCAGAGTAGGAGCATTCTCACGGAGAAAACGAGTCAAGTTCAGAGTTGTAAGATAGAACAACATTTTTTGCTGCCATATTTTAAAATCAGTTCTAGAGAACTTCTCTGGCTTCTCACCGTGATTTACCGGCCAATACTCGTTTGAGCATTTGTTTCAGTAGCCATGAATTCTAAATTATAAAAGAAAATTATATTTAGAATTTTATACTACATAGAAAATTAATCCAAATTCACAGAATTAAATTTTATAAAAATAAAAGAAACAAGAAATGTAACTTTTATTTTTCAATTAATTTGGAAATAAAATAAAATTTTATTTAGCCAAATTAATTCAACACAGAAAATTAAATTTATGTAACACTTCAATAATTAAAAAACTAAAACAGAATTTTTAAATTAATGAACACTTAGAAAATATTTAAGAAAATCAAAATTAATTTCTGACAAACTTCACAAATAAATATTCTGAATTGTTAATGACACCAGTATATTACTATTAGTTGTCAAAGAAAATAGACAGTATATTACTACTATTTATCAAACAGTATATTACTACTAGTTGTCAAAGAAAATAGACAGTATATTACTACTATCTATCAAACAATATATTACTACTATTTGTTTTCCAACCAGAATATTATTTTTGTAAAATCACAGAAAATAACTTCTGTAAGAAGAAGAAAGAGAAAGGGAAACAAACGAAAAATTATGTAAACAGAATAATTCGAATCTGTCTTAAAATTGTTGAAACAATCTTATGTGTACAATAAATAAATTGACACACAATCAAACAAATAAAATAAATAACGTACCGAATTTTGGGAAGAAGGGTTGGGTGGATTTGGGTTATTTTAGTTACAAAAAGACAAAATAGGCTTTTTAGCCCAATAAGACAAAACATCACATTCAACCTATAATCATTACATTCTTTCTCTCATAAAAGGTCAAAAAAATCAAAAAAATTCTTCCCAAACAAGACTTTTTAGCTTTAGGCTAAAATAGTAAAAAAGTCAATCCACTTCCCAAATGAACCCTAAAATAGCCAACTTCCCAAACAAGGCCAGTCAGTCCCTAATTCTGGATGACTTTGGGATATTTTAACATTTGTTTTAAAGAAATTAGAGTAAATTATAATAAATTTTCTAAGAGTATAACTCATTTGTATTTTGCCAGTCTGAACTTTAAAACTTAATAGTTAATTTTATTAAAAATATTATCTTATTACAGTTAATTTTTTTTTTATCAAAATTCTGTAAAAAATTTATCCAAAAAAAAAAAAAGAACAAAAAAGATCATGAGTAAATCACATGACACATTTATTAAATTTTTATAACAATAATATATGTTACTGACTATTTTAGGAAATAATAATCTTATATGGTAATTTTATATTTGCTTTATCTCTCTAATCTTAGTGGTAAAGTTCAAACACGATCACCGGATTTGCTCTTTCGTGTAGCCTAGGCCCATGGAGCGGTAAGAGCTTTTGAGAAAGTCACCCGTATTTCTTCGAGACAAAGTAGTCGATCAAGATTGGGCACCAAAAACTTACTCTAAGATGTTCTTCGAAATCAATGCCCGGAAAGAAAGGCAAATGCTCTTTCTTCCGCTCTTGTTGGCTAGCAAAGGCTTATTCAAGGATAGAATGACGATCCCTATCGTTCACATCCTGATCCTAGGCATTTGTTGCGTGAGCTTCATTCTTCTGTCAAAAGGGATCTCTTCTCAGTTAATGAAGCTTCTCTAATATTGTGTTAAAAATTTAATAAATGTGTCATATACTTTACACATGATCAGATTTTCAGTAAATTTATAACATAATCATTACAAAAATGGTTAATTGTAAGAAGATAAACTTTGAGAAAGTTAATTGTTGAGTTTTTAAAGATTAGAGGGCAAAATATAATTGTGTAATAGTTTAAGGGGGTTTTACTGTAATTTACCCAAGAAATTAGAAAAATTACAAAGATAAAAGTTGAGTAAATGACACTTATCTCTCTTAAGATTTGGAAAAAAAATATAATAAATTTTACAAATTTAACATAGTTAGATTAGACTCTTGTAAGATTTTAATTCATATAACAGTTGACTCTATTTTCATTATAAATTAATTATTCATATGAAAGAAAAAATAATATTTATCGTCTTTTCCATATTAAAATATATATTTTATCTTATTTATTTTTACATTTTCATACTATCTACATTAGTTTTGATCATTTGAATCTTATTAAAAAAATCAATGTAATTATATTAAAATTGTAAAACTTGTTGTATTTCTTCAAATCTTAACGGATGTCAATGTAATTTATTCATAAAATTTCTTGTTACTTTATTATTTAACAATTTATACATCTATTTAAAAAAAAAAAAAAAAACAAACAACCAAATAAACAAAAATTCAAAGTTATAATATAAAAGAATAATAATAATTTTCAGCCAATTACACCACAGTATCAGTTAGGTTTCGTTTGGGAAGAAGGGTTGGGTTGAGTTTGCGGCTATTTTAGTTACAAAAAAATAAAATAGGCTTTTTAGTTCAATAAGACAAAATATCATATCAAATCCATAATTATTACATTTTTTCTCTCACAAAAAGTCAAAACAACATTTCCCAAATGAGACTTTTTAATCCTAAGCTAAAATAACCAAAAAATTAAACACTCAAAAAGTCAACCAACTCCCAAACGAACCCTTAATATTCTTCTCTTTTTTTTTTTTTTTTTTTTTCATTTTTTTTTGTCATTTATGGATAAGAACTTACTTGATTAAATCCACAATCCACAACAATTAACTCAAATTTTAAAATTTTAAATCTTCAGACAAAATTAACAAACAATTAAATTAGAAGCTGAAAAAGTAAAATCTAAAATAGGGAACCTAAAAAGTTCAATCTCATAATAATAGTAAATTGAGTTGGCCGACGTAGCAGCACTAGGACCCTATTATTAGAGGTTGTTTGGGGTGTCTTAAATAAGTATATTTTTTTTGTCTTTTTAGACTAAAAAATTGAGGAAAAAATATGGATGTTTGAGTTAACTTTTTAAATTTTTATAGAAAAATGTGTATTAAAAAATTATATAAATTAGTGTGTAGGAAAAAATTAGGATTGTGAGTTATGCCACCGTGATTTTTGACTTTGATAAATAGTGATAACTTTTTAATTTTTTGAGTAACTTTTTGACTTTTTGACAACTTGCCAAACTTAACCTTAATTTATATTATTTCTCACTCAATCAAATATGATGAAAGAGTTCTCTTTCTCATAACTTCTTTCACCAATTTCTTAAAAAATTACTCCATCTTAACGGAGTGTTAGATAACATATGATTATGGGTTGTTTGTCACACAACTAAAAAACATATATTATTTTTTGATTTTGTTGTCTTTAGTGTTTTTTTTAAAAAAAATAATTTCAATTTTTTTTAAAAAAAATTTCATGCCTATCTTATGTAGATGAATAAAAAGAAGTTTAAAAAAAAATTGAAAAAATTCTAAA